ATTTGAAGGCTGCTTTCCTGTGTTCTACCTTAGTCTTTCCAAAGTGAAGACTTGTTTTCCTTAACTATTCCTCATTTGTTATATTTTCCCTTATTTTGGTAACCCTCCTCTGTGCTGTAGTTTGTCAGTGTCCTTCAAGTACAGTGTCCAGTGCTCTTGCCACAACCAGACCAGCAAAGACTACTTATAGCTAATTATAAATGTGATAAGCATATGTCTTTGTCTTCCTGCAATCACTGATTTTTAAAATAAGGAAGAAGAACTAAGACTAGATCTGTGGGATAATGTTAAGGGCTCCAGAGGAATTGATATCAGTCCAATGATCAGATGTCTTTGAATAAGGTGTAAAATCAGTTTTAAATCTACCTAGGAGTATTCTGACCGACACTTCTGTCACTTGTCCTCACATAGTTATCCTGAGAGACTATTTTAAGTATTGTCCTACAATTTAAAAGTATTAAGTCTGTGGTATTCCGTTTATCTACCAATTCAGTAATGACAACAGACAGGGAGATGGAATTTGGCCTTATTTTTCTTTCTTTTTTTTTTTTTTTTAAGAAATCCAAAGAGGATTTTTAAATTTTTATTTATTTATTTATTTTTAAATTTTTGGCTCATTGGGTCTTCGTTGCTGCCTGCGGGCTTTCTCTAGTTGTGGCGAGCGGGGGCTACTCTTCATTGAGAGTACTACTCTTCACTGCACGGTGCGCAGGCTTCTCATTGCGGTGGCTTCTCTTGTTGCAGAGCACGGGCTCTAGGCGCATGGACTTCAGTAGTTGTGGCTCGTGGGCTCTAGAGCGCAGGCTCAGTGGCCATGGTGCATGGGCTTAGATGCTCTGTGGCATGTGGGATCTTCCCGGACCAGGGATCGAACCCGTGTCCCCTGCATTGGCAGGCGGATTCTTAACCACTATGCCACCAGGGAAGTCCTGGCCTTATTTTTCTTAATAAACAATTTCTAGCTGTCAGTGATTTTTATTCCCTCAGTATTCCCAATTCTAATCTAGAATGTTTCTGTAAGATTTTTGGATATTTGGACAATATAGTTTCCTTAAGAAAAGTTATGGTAAGAAAAGCAAAAACAAAAACCCCAAAACAACAAAAAAGAATAGTTATGCTATATTTCTGTGGCTTAGCCCAAACAAAAATTTCCCTTCTTTTGGGGGGCAAGCCAAATATAATTTGTGCCTATGGGATACTAATCAGTTGGACTGTGTGGCACTCTGATTTGGTTTAAAATAAGTAAAGGACCTTGCCATTAGAGTTAAGTAATGTTTACAGACAGAGAATTGCTAGAATATTTGGGCAGAAGGAAAAGTGGGGTGGGAATCAGACTTTCTCCAGGTCTGATCTCTCCTGTGGCTGAACGCATATCCTGCCTCCTGGACATCTCTCCCTGAATTTCCTGTAAGTATCTAAACTTGTGCTCTCCCTCCACCAAACCTGACTCTCCTCCTGTATTCTTTTTCATGGTTAATAATATCAATGTTTACCCAACAACCATAGATAGAAATATGGAAATTATCCAGATAATTGCTTCTCCCCAACCCTTATATCTAATTAACTAGTCCACAAGTGCCCTCCTAGGGAGGCAGAATAGTGTAGTAGAGAACAAACCTGGGTTTAAATACCAAGCTGTGTTATTTTGACCTATGCCTAGCACAGTGGGACACCTACTATCCCTTTGCTGTCTATTTGCTTCCATTATTGCCTGAGTATAACTCTACCATGGCAGAGTGATCTTTATAAATCTGATGTCCCTCTCCTACTTAAACAACTGGGTGGCTCCTTGTTGTTTTCAGGATTACATTTCAACATGCTCATGCAAGGCCTTTCATGGTGTGGCCCCTCCTACCTACCCTTCCAGCTTCATCTCTTCTTGTTCCTCCATATGTGCTTGACATATGTGCTGACATATGTGTTCCAGCACATATGTGCTGGCCATCCTGAACTCTGAGATGGGCCACAGTCCTGTGTCATCCCTCTGCCCTGAGTGCCCTTCTCCTCCTTTCCAAATGGCACAGTTTCCTTATTCTAACCTCACCCATATGGGGACATACAAAACCTTTATGAAATCATTCGTGAAATGCTTTTCCTCTCCACTCTCCCTTCTGCATAAACTATACAGTATCCATTCATGATGTACTCTGATTATGAGATGCACAGGGTGAAATGCAAATAAAACCCATTTTACATTTTTAAAGAGTCAGAACACAAACATTTAAATAGCACCTAGTGGGACTTCCCTGGTGGCGCAGTGGTTAGGAATCCGCCTGCCACCGCAGGGGACACGGGTTTGCTCCCTGGTCTGGGAAGATCCCACATGCCACGGAGCAACTAAGCCCATGCGCCACAACTACTGAGCCTGTGCTCTAAAGCCTATGAGCCACAACTACTGAGCCCACACGCTGCAACTACTGGAGCCTGCACACCTAGAGCCCGTACTCCGCAACAAGAGAAGCCACCGCAATGAGAAGCCCGCACACCACAATGAAGCGTAACCCCCGCTCGCCGCAACTAGAGAAAGCCCGCGCGCAGCAACAAAGACCCAGCGCAACCAGAAAATAAATAAAATTTTAAAAAATAGTTAGTACATAAATAAAACAAAGTTTAAAAAAAAATAAATAGCACCTAGTGAGGTAAGAGAGTTAAGTGTTAGTTGGGAGTGTGGGCTACATTGTGACAAGACAACCTAATAAGTGGCAGTCATAAAGTTTGCCCCTTGATCTTTACAGAAAAGGTATCACACACATAGTGAGGATAGGTGGCATGAAGCACGTACCATATATACCTGGAATCATCTGTGAAGAAATGGATTCATAGGAAGCACATTGATTACAAAAAGAAGTAAAGCAAAATCAGGCATTTGACCACCTATGAAGCAAAAGGAAGTTTTCTATCTTGTTTAGTCTGCATAGCAGTGTAAAAGGGCCATGACTTCAAAACTTCTCTGTACTATTCATTAACAGTTTGAAAGGAAATAAACAAAAAGACAAATCCCTCTTTTAAGTTTATGAGCCTCAAGACTTCCCTGGTGGGTCCAGTGGGTAAGACTCCGTGTTCCCACTGCAGGGGGCCCGGGTTGGATCCCTGGTCGGGGAACTAGATCCTGCATGCATGCCTCAACAAAGATCCCACGTGCCGCAACTAAGACCTGGTGCAGCCAAAATAAATAAATAAAATAATAAATATTTTTCTAAAAAGTGTATGAGCCTCAGTAGAGCTACCACGCTTTTCCTTTTTTCTGTCGTGTTTTTTAATTTTCTTTCCTTTTGGCCGTGCCTCATGGCTTGCGGGATGGGATCTTAGTTCCCCTGTCTCCAACCAGGGATTGAACCCTTGCCCCCTGCAGTGGAAACTCAGAGTCCTAGCCACTGGACCACCTAATTAGTCCCTAACTAATTTTAATTGCTAATTCATTCAGCAGATATTTATTTTAAGTACCTCCTTTGGTGGCAGGCACTGCTTTAGGTTCTAAGGATACAGTGGTGAGCAAAACAGACTGTCCCTGTGTCCCTATCCTCAGTCCACCACATACATTACTGAGGAGAGACAGTAAACAAATATATGATATATAGTCAGCTGGAATTAAATACTGTGAGGAAAAATGAAGCAATGGAGGGGGATAAAGTGTGATGGAAAATGCTAATTTAGATATAGGGTGGTCAGGAAAGGCCTCTCTGAGGATGAGACATCTGAAGATGAGAATGAGAAAAGGCAGCAGGCCATGCAGATATTCCCATTACATCCCAGTTGCTTTTCCTCTCTTGGGCTTTATGATGATGTTACCTTGTATTAAGAAGTGTTATTGGGCTTCCCTGGTGGCGCAGTGGTTGAGAGTCCGCCTGCCGATGCAGGGGACATGGGTTCGTGCCCTGGTCCGGGAAGATCCCACATGCCGCGGAGCAGCTGGGCCCGTGAGCCATGGCCGCTGGGCCTGCGCGTCCGGAGCCTATGCTCCGCAACGGGAGAGGCCACAACAGTGAGAGGCCCGTGTACAGCAAAAAAAAAAAAAAAAAAGTGGTATTAAAAACATTTCTTCCTCAATTCATTACTTCATTTAACAACTTGAGAGAAATTCCTTTCTAGTTGTAGTATCATATAATCATATTCCTGTGCAACTGGTTTGTTTTTATCCCACAGACACTGGAAATTATATAGCCGACAGAGGTTTCCTTTTCGCATTGACTGCTAGAAAACTCAGAGATTAATTTGTGGCCTGTCCATATTAGCCATAGTAGTTGTGAAGGTCATTATGGTATGCCTCTTTTTGGTTTGGTTTTGTTTAGCATCATTCCTCTCAAGCCTGCCTTTTTTCTAACTCTACCATGAATTCATGCTATCTTGTATTTTATGTATCCATGTAATCTAATCAGAATCCTTTTTGGAACAAGGTACAGTGGTGAATTATAAACATGTATGTTTATAAAGGTAGAAAACATGACACATAGAGAATTACAGTACTTACATTGGTAGTATAGGCTGGTGGTTCTCAACTGAGGGCAGTTCTGTGTCCCCCAGGGGACATTTGGCAACATCTGATTATCACAGTTGGGAAATGCTACTGTCATCCTACATTGAACAGGACAGCCCTCAAACAAAGAATAATCTAGCCCAAAATGCTGATAGTGCCAGGGTTGGGGAACCTTGCTGTAGACTGGACCAGTCAATCCACAATTTCATACATTCCAGGGCTGTAGAAGCATTTTGTAATGTAAATGTCAAATGTGTTTCCATGTAGCTTATTCTAATATACAATGTATATTCTAAGTGGGTAGGTTGGGTGCCCTTCCACTAAGTCTGTCATCAGTCAGCTATTACTGAAAGCAATATTTTCCCCTTTGGAAATCTGTATTATGATGCCCACAAAGCCATAACTTCAGGTTGACAAAGTTGGGGAGAAGTGTGCTTTTCGTTTGACCGCCAGTATTTTGAACATTTGAATAAGCAGCGTAGTTAAAATGAGACTATGTTCTTTTCATTCTTCATTCTTTTTGCAGGCTTTCATAGAGACCATGTTTGCCAGCAAAGCCCCTGTAGAGGAAGGCTTTCTTTATGCTAAGGTGAGCATTAAATGGCTGGAAAAGTTTTGTTGGACGCAAATGTAATTTCATTGATTTGCATATGGCATCCAGTTGGCTTTCATGGAAGTGAGCAAGATATCAGTGGAGAGGATTTGGTTCTTAAATGTCAGTGGTAATTTATTAGATGAGTCTAAAATATGTAGAGCTACAATTAGATGGAGAAAATTGCGAAGTAGAACAGGTAAAGAAGGAAAGACTTTTTGCAAGTGTGAGTTAAGAAGAATAATACTGTTTAAGTAATGTAAAGGCAAAGAATCTGAGGTGGTGTTGCAGATAGTAGCCGATATGAACCAGTCTCCAGCTCCATCCTAGGATATAATGAAATTAGTAGAATTTACCGTTTCCCTAGCATCCTTTTTCACACTTCCAGAGCATGTAGGTCGGTAGCTATGTGAAAGGTTGAAATTGGTAATTTAGAGCTGTTGTTGAAAATGCAAGCCATATTTCAGTGTTGATCTAAATAAGAAAAAACAAATAGTAACATGTAAAGTATCTGACCGTTTCTCTGTGCTCAGCCCAATCATAGGTTTTCCATGTTCTCTTCTGGACTTAACAGTTTGAAAATCACAGGAAAGTTAGAGCACTCAGGAGAAAAGAACAGATTTAATAATAGAGTTGAATAACAGTATTGGGGTGAGCATAAAAGAAATGGCCTGAAGTTACAGCATAATAGTTTGGTTAAAAAGGTGTGACAAATAGTTTTCCATTGTTAACTTAAGATAAGTACTTGAATGGAGGTATGGGCTGTTGAAGAGAGCCTGTGCTGGGGCTGCCCTGAGGAAATCTCAGTCAGACTTTCAGTCGTACTTTGCTGTTGTTTTGCAGTTTGAATTTGAATGCCGGGCTCGTGGTGCAGACATCTTAGCCTACCCACCTGTGGTGGCTGGAGGTAATCGGTCAAACACTCTGCACTATGTGAAGAACAATCAACGCATCAAGGTACACAGACCCCCTTCAGTGCTGCTTCCTCTGGGTCCAGATGTCTTAGTAAACTCTAACCTCATGGTCCCCTAACCTTCAGCTTTCACAAACTAACTGCTATTTATAAATCCCTTACAGACATGATCTCATTTGATCTGCACATTAGCACTGTGAGATAGGAACAATTATTAACATGCCTGTATAATAGATGAGGAAAATAAACTAAAAAATTAGGTAACTCGTTAGTGCAGAGCCAACTATTCTAGTCTAAAGCCTCTGCTCATTTCACTTGATAAAGCTCCTTTGCTAAGGACTTGTGGCAACAGTGGGCCAAGCATATTTTGGGAGCAGACAGGTTTTACAACTATCTTGTAGCTGTGAGGGAACTTATTTTTTATGGTTTTCTCCCCAAGTGACTATACAAGTAAAGAATCATGTATTCCTTTATTAAGTCTATTTTTAATTATCTACTTTAATTTACAGTAAATTCAAAAAATAAATATAGCAAACATAAATTATACAATATAATTTTTTTTAATGAATACCCATGAACCAACGACTCAACTCAAGAGCCAGAACATTACCAATATGTTACATCTGCGTGAGTACCCTTATGCTCTGGCACCCTACTGCCTCCCTCCCAAAGGTCACTAACCAGTATCCTAAATTTTGTTTGTCATTCTCTTGATTTTTTCAATAGTTTTATCACATAGACATGATTCCCCAAACAATATTTATTAGTTCTGCTTGTTTATGAAATATATAAAAATCATATATTGCTATATGTAGTTTTGGGGACTCAAACTTTTCTTTTAACCTCAAGTACGATAAGATAATACAAATTTTTTCTCAGGTATTTGTATCTGTTTACACTCCTACCAGCAGTGTATAATTCTGTTCACCACATCCTTTCCATCCCCTGATATTATCAGACTTCTCAATTTTTGCCATTTTAGTTGGAATAAAACAGTATCTCATTGTGGTCTTCATTTCCATTACCTCAATTACCAGTGAAGTTAAGCATCTTTTCTTATCTTTGGCATTACTGCTTTCAACTTGCTAATGTGTTGTTTAGGATATTCTGATTTGTGTACATGAATGAGATTGTCTTATAATTTTTCTCATACTGACTTTATGGTTTTCATTTCAAGGTCAAACTAAACTCATAAAATGAATAGTTTATTTTTTAATATTGTAAAATGGTTTGAATTAATGTTTCTTGAAAATTGGGTAGGACTCTCCTGTGGAATTATTCGGGCCAGATATCTTTTGTGGGATTTTTAACTATGATTCAATTTCTTTAATATACTGAGGCTTTCTATTTTTCTTTTCCTTTATTTATTTATTTTACATTTCTTATTGTAAAATGTAACTACTGGAAAAGTACTTAAACCATAAAAGAATAGTTTAATGGGTAATTATAAAGTTAACACCCATGTGACCGTTACCCAGGTCAAGAAATAAAACGTGTAGGCAAGCTACAGCCCTCTGGGTGAAATCCAGCCTGCCACTTTGTTTTTTAAATAAAGCTTTATTGGAACACAGTGGTTTCCACTCCCCCACCCCCACCCCATGGCAGAGTTGAGTAGTTGCACCAGAGGCAGTACGGTCCACAAAATAAATATTATCTAGCCCTTTACAGGAAACACTTAACCCCTGAAATAGGACATTACTGTGACCCCCCCACCCCCAAGAAGCTTTTCCACCATGTGGTCCTTCCCTCCCTGTGATAACTCCCTCTCTCCCTGATAGGGTAACACTCTCCCAGTTTTTATGGTGATCATGTCTTTGCTTTTCTTTTTATTTTACAATTAATAAAGTAGTTTATATAATTTGGTTTTGGTCATGTTTGAACTTTATGTATTTGAAATATTATGTCTGTGTCTTCTTTTGTACAGCAGTATATTGTTGTATGCCGCTGTAGTTTGTTCATTGTAATTGCTAGAGTGTAGAATAGCAGGTAGAGTATGGCCTGTGAAGTTAAATATATTTTCATAAGAATACTAAGACATTACATTATGTGCTCTTTTTCACTCTTATTTTCTCTCAACTGTACTGTGAAGTATCCCAGAGGCCTTATGACATGCAATATCACACCAACTTGAATGCAGAAGCAAAGATGAGACTCCAGCTGTCTTCTCTTTGTCTATGCTAGACAGAGATTTGCAAAAATGTAAAACACTGCCACTTTTCTAACTAAATATTTTTATTTAGAAAAATAGTTATTTTCATTAAAAATGTTATTTTAGCATGTAATTAGTGGGTTTATTGTTATTTTTAAATGAATAAATATTATAAAATTTTTTCAGTTTGAATTTCTTAATGTGATAAATATCCATAGATGGATATTTATATATTCTCCAGGTTTTTACCATTATGAACAATGTTCTGTGAACATTCTTGTACATTATTCATGGTATGTAAGTTATCAAGGTTGCCTAAGAGACACCTAATAATGGAATTGCTGGGTCATAGGATATGCATATTTGCAACTTTCATAGAAAACGCCAGACATTTCCGAAGTGTTTTTATCAGTTTATATTTCCATTCTTCTGGAGACAGTTTGGTAGATTATATTTTTGTACCATTTTGTCTAAGTTTTTAAAATTGTAGTATTATCTTACATTTTAATCTTTTGTGTTTGTACTAATGTACCCTTTTACCTTCTTTTTTTTCTTTTGTTTTGTTTTCCCTTTATGTACCTTTTTACATTCTTGATATCTTTATTTGTTTGTTTGTTTATTTATTTTTGGCTGCATTGGGTCCTTGCTGCTGTGTGTGGGCTTTCTCTAGTTGTGGCGAGCAGGGATTACTCTTCGTTGTGTTACACGTGCTTCTCATTGCGGTGGCTTCTCTTGTTGTGGAGCACAGGCTCTAGGCATGCAGGCTTCAGTAGTTGTGGCACAAGGGCTCAGTAGTTGTGGCTTGTGGGCTCTAGAGCACAGGCTCAGTAGTTGTGGCTCGCAGGCTTAGTTGCACCACAGCCTGTGGGATCTTCCCGGACCAGAGCTCGAACCTGTGTCCCCTGCATTGGCAGGAAGATTCTTAACCACTGCACCACCAGGGAAGTCCCTTTTCTAATAAATCTTAATAGACAGTTTCTTTAAAAGTAAACAAACATATTCTCTGTGAACCAGCAGTTTCTTTTTAGGTATTTTTCCAAGAAAAATGAAAACATATGTCCAAAAAATGCCTTATACAAGAATGTTGATAGCAAGTGTACTCATAATAGTCCAGGGGTCCATAACCAGGATATTAGATATGGAAATTACCATGTGATATACCCTTGAAATAAGAAGGAGCAAACTACAGCACTGCCAACAGCATGAATGATCCCAAAAGCATTACACTGAATAAATAAGCCAGACACAAGAAAATTGCAAACTATATGATTCTATTTATATGAAGTTCTGAAATAAGCAAAACTAATCTATGGTGATAGAAATCAGATTAGTGGTTGCTTCTGATGGGGTGTTGACTGGGTAGGGCCATGAGGGTGTGGTTACATGGGTGTATACATTTGACAAAACAGACAAAACAGACTTAATTCTGTATACTTAAGATCTGTGCAAAGAAATCTCAGCAGAGGTTTGTGGGTTTTTATTAGTCTTTTAAAACCATCTTCTCTCCTGCGTGCCTCAGTGAAGATCCCGCGTACCGCAACTAAGACCCAACACAGCCAAAAATTAAATAAATAAATAAATAATAATTTTTAAAATAAATAAATAAAAATACTAAAAAAAAAAAAACTTTGCACATCATTAATGCTATTTTGTCTTTGTTTATTATCTCATCACACTGTGCCCTGGCCTTTGTTAATTTCACTCTTCTACTCTTTGTGTTTATTCTCTTGTTCTTTTTTTAAGCTTTTTTTTTTTTTTTTTTTTTTTTTTGTGGTACACAGGCCTCTCACTGTTGTGGCCTCTCCCGTTGTAGAGCACAGGCTCCAGACGCGCAGGCTCAGCAGCCGTGGCCCACGGGCCCAGCCGCTCCGCGGCATGTGGGATCTTCCCGGACGGGGGCACGAACCCGTATCCCCTGCATCCACAGGCGGACTCTCAACCACTGCACCACCAGGGAAGCCCTAAACTTCTTAAATTAGATGCTAAACTCTTTTTTCTGGCCATGCCACATGGCTTACAGGATCTTAGTTCCCAGACCAGGGACCAAACCTGGGCCCCCTGCAGTGAAAGCACCGGGTCCTAACCACTGGACCACCAGGGAATTCCCTAAACTCATTAATATTCATCCTTTCTTCTGTTCTAATTATAATTATTTAAGGATTAATATTTCACTTTCATTATATTCCATGTGTTTTTTTCATTATATTCCACTGTTTCTTTTTGCTTTTGCTGCATTAAGATTTCTTTTTCTTTGGTATTTCTCAGTTTTATTATATTTCTAAATACAAACTTATCATATATTATAAACAATAAATATAATATACTGTTTAAAATAATAATGATAAAATGAACAACCATGTATTCACCATCAAGGATAAGAAGATCATTGCTTATACCTTAGTAGTCCCTTGGGCAATCTCAAGCACATCTCCCTTTCTGTCTCCTACCATCTTGACTTTTGTTTTAACCTTTTTTTTTTCGTTTTTCTTCATAGTTTTACCACCAGTGTACCTATTCCTAAATATAGTATTCATCCTTGAAAAACTAGAGAATAAGCACAAATCTAGCTTTACAGGGAGAGAGACATATTGCCATTATTAGATGAAGTGACCTAAATAAGAAATAAGAGAAAATAGTCAAAACTTCTAGGTCATAGTCTGGCTTCAGTTATCTGAAACTTTTCAACTTAGCGGGCAGGGTCATCAAGAAGCCGTGAGAAATGCAGAGGTCTGTTGGGGCATCTGGAAGGACTCTGTCATGGACCAGCTGGTAGGCATCTGGCAGAGATCTAGTCAGAGACAGCAGGCTGCCCTGTGGTTCTGCCTCTGAGCTCACCACGGCTACATCTAGCTGTCAGGAATAGGTCAAAGCAGAGCCCCCTTCTAACAGAGTTTGTTTAGATTTACCTGCATGTTGATCTTTCCTTCTTGCATCTTAGATGGCCTTTCTGGGATCACCTCCCTTCTACCTAAAGAACATCCTTTAGATGAAGGTGTGTAGCTGATAAACTTTTTCTACTTTTGTTTAGCCAAAACATCTTTATTTCATTCTCATTCTTGAAAGATGGCTGTGCTGAGGAAAACCATCCTAGATTGACAGTTATTTTCAGTCATCAATTTTAATAGATTATACTCCTTTCTTCTGACTTTCAGTGTTGCTGATTTTAAAGTATAATAATTATCATTCCTTTATGAAATTTCTTTTTGCTTTTGCTGCATTAAGATATCTTTTTCTTTGGTATTTCTCAGTTTTATTATATATCTAAATACAAATTTATTTTTACATGTCCTCATTATGATACCTCTGCTTCCTGAATCTGTAGATTCATGTCTTCATTAGTTCTAGGAAATTCTCAGACATTATTTCTCCAGATATCATCTCTCCCACATTCTCTCTGTTCACTCCTTCAAGGTCTTCAGTTAGATGTATGTTAAACCTCTTTTCTGTTTTCAATAGTTAATGTTTCTTTCATGTTTACATTTGCCTTGTCTGTCTGTGTCATACTCTAGGGGATTTTCGTAGGTCTGTCTTCCAGGAAACTAAATTTTCTCTTCATTTGTCTAACCTACTACTTCAGCCATACACTGAGTATTTTATTTCAGCAGTTGTTTTTATTTCCATTTGGTTCCCTTCAAATCCACAGTTATTCTCAATTGTCTCTTGTTGCTTGTTACCCTTTGTGATTCCATTTTTTATCCCTTTAAACATTTCATAATAGCAATTCTGTATCTCATAACTCCATTGTGTGGAATTCTGGAAGATCTAAATTTGGTATTTGTTGTTCCTGCTGACTCTCACTCACAGTGACCTACTGCCTCGTGTGCTTGACAGCCTTTGGTTGTGAACTCATATTTGCTTGTTGTTATTTTTGGGAAATTATGCAATCCCAAATTTGGGCGCTATTTCCTCTAAATGTTATTTGCATATGCTTTTGCCAGAGTGAAGTGGGTCCTAATGACCTGGGGCCCTATTATCCCCTATGAGTGTCCTGGGTTAATGCAGGAATCTCCACTTCATCTTCCCCACTTTGCAACACCTTCTTTCCTATATACTGTAACACTTACCTTATCACTACTCAGCTCTAGTTTCAGTTCTGGGTTGATTTTTTTTTTTTTTTTTTTGCGTTACACGGGCCTCTCACTGTTGTGGCCTCTCCCATTGCGGAGCACAGGCTCCGGACGCGCAGGCTCAGCGGCCATGGCTCACGGGCCCAGCCGCTCCGTGGCATGTGGGATCTTCCCGGACCGGGGCACGAACCCGTGTCCCCTGCATCAGCAGGTGGACTCTCAACCACTGCGCCACCAGGGAAGCCCCTCTGGGTTGTTTTTATTCAAGAAAAAAAGTCTTTAAGATGTCTCTTATATGATGTAATGTCAACATTTCATAAAATATATTTTTGTCCAGGATCTAGTTGTTACCTAAAATTTATTCTATCATGTTTCCAGAAACAAAAACCAAACCAAAAAACCCAAAAAACTCTGGGTACATCTCT